ATCCATCCACTCATCCATCCATCCATCAACTCATCCATCCATCCATCAACTCATCCATCCATCCACTCATCCATGCATACATCAACTCATCCATCCATCCATCAACTCATCCATCCATCAACTCATCCATCCATCCATCCATCCAGTCATCCATCAACTCATCCATCCATCCATCCATCCATCCATCCACTCATCCATCCATCCATCCACTCATCCATCCATCCATTGTCTTCTACCCACTTCTTGATAAAGCTGAAATTAAATACTCTTATGACGTATTTCCTGTCCGTTTCAGAGCGACAGGAAGTAAACAGCCATGTGTTGAGGCTCAAAGAGGAAGAAGAGCCAGTGGAAGTCAGCCCTGTGGCCCAAAATCAGCTGACCTCAGAGGAGATCATGACAAGCCACCATCTCTTTACTGTCAAATCTGAGGACCACAGCCTGACTGGGAGCCAAACTGGAGCCAAAATGGTGGACCAGTGTCTCCATGGTCTTCAAACCGTCTGTCACCCTGCCTCCAAGACAACAACCAATGTAATCAATGGAGCTAACGGCTTCCAGTTTCGAGTGAAACTTGAAGATCTGGAGATCTCAGAAATGAGCCGTCACCTCCTCACCGGAGCCAAGATGGAGGACAATCGTCCGGCTAACGCGGAAATTGCAGAAAGGCCTTTTTCTGGAGTTAAAATGAACAAGTTTTTCTCTGGGGTGAAGATGGAAGACGCGTTTCTCTCAGGAGCCTCCACGGAGAACGGGTTCATGCCTGGAGCCAAGATGGCGGCTCAGGTTTTTACCGGCGCAAAGATGGAGGAGCAGCTTTTCTTTGGAGCCAACGTGGAGGAGCAGTGCCTGCGAGCGGTGCTGTGGCAGGACATGTCTGTGAACCTGGCCTCCACGCTGCTGCATCAGCTCTCAGGTAACAAACACCTGCTCAAGGACTTCTCCTCATTTACAGACCTGCATCTCAAGGTCTGCGATCAAAACTTCTCAAGAACGTGACAGATTCTCAAGAAACTGGAGAATCTGTCACGTTCGAAGGTGAAAGAGGAACGAACATAAAGAGTGTGGTTTTAAAACGACAGACCAGACTTTACAAACACAGGAAGTAAACTGAGAAGCACCAGAGAATATGACGGAAATATTTTAAGGTTCAAAAACTGAAAAAAGCTCAACTCATCCCAAACAAAGACCCTGATGACCCTCAGGGGGGAAGGGAGTGAGATTAATCTGCACGAGAGTTAAACTGCATAACCAGAGCTTCTCATACAGTTTAAACTTTAAAACTCCACATTCTGACCTGAAAAAGAGAAAAGTCTTGAACTAAAGCACAGAAGTCCATCTGATTTTACACCTTTAGGTCAACCTGTTGACCTTCTGTAAAGAGATCTCTGACTACCTGCACAAATTGGCCTTAACATGTTATTTCTATTTTCTACTAAAAGTTGTTGTTTGTGACACGTGAAAACTCCTAATTACTTAAAAAAATATATATGATTTTTATATTTTTCACTCAAGGACGTGACCATTATTTTATTGTCTCCATGAATTCTGGGGCGATGACGTAAAAGCTACAACGTGAGAATAAAGAAATATTTTATATTAGTCCTCATGCACAAAATATGTGTCAAAAAGATCAAACGTGAGCAAGTTAGGATGTTTAGTTTATTAGCTCCAGAGCTAATGCTAAATAAATTAGCTAGCTGTAGAGTTAACATCATACAGTATATAATAACTCCCGAGCTAACATTATCTGTATTAGTTCCAAAGCTGACATGTATATTAGCTCTGGAGCTAACCCATATATATAAGATTTAGAGTGTGCGCTATTAGGTTTGGAGTTAACGTCATATAAATCAGCTCAGGAGCTCACGCAATTAGCTCCAAAGCAAATGCTATTAGCTCTAGCATTAACGCCATATATAATAACTCCAGAGCTAAGATCATCTGTATTAGCTCCAAAGCTAACTCCAAAGCTAGCCTCATATACATATTAGCTTTGGAGCTAGCCTCATATATTAGCTTTGGAGCTAACATATATTAGCTCTGGAGCTAACATATATTAGCTCTGGAGCTAACGTATATATTAGCGTTGGAGCTAGCTTCATATATTAGCGTTGGAGCTAACATATATTAGCTCTGGAGCTAGCCTCATATATATTAGCTCTGGAGCTAGCCTCATATATATTAGCTATGGAGCTAACATATATTAGCTCTGGAGTTAACATCATATATATATAGAAGCTCTGGAGCTAACCTCATATATATTAGCTTTGGAGCTAACATATATTAGCTCTGGAGTTAGCCTCATATATATTATGAGGAACATATATTAACATATATTAGCTCTGGAGCTAATATATGTTAGCTCTGGAGCTAGCCTCATATATATTAGCTC